ATGTCCCTGCAGTGAGAATGGGCTGTCCTAGTTGCATGGCTTTTTCTCCCAAGTTAGGTGGTTTGGGGATGTTTGTCACTGTTGAAGGACATTTGCCACTCATGTCTGGGAGCCTCGTTACCACAGACAGTACTAAGAAAAAGATGGCCAACTCGGCAAAAGGTGTTTTCCTCCCTCTGGGCTGAGGGGAAAACCCAACCAGACAAATCAAGCAGTTTGTACTCAGTGGTTTGCAGGAATTTCACACGGTGACCCAGATTCCTCTCCTCTATGTGGGGGTACAACAAAGAGATGCAGCTAGAAGATGAGGTAGGAGTACACTCACCAATATCTCCTACATGTCCTGTTATGCCCAGCACTAGGACAGGTGTGGGTGGCCAGCCCAGGGGACAGTGGCAATGCACCCTTATTGCCAGGAGCCTGCTTCTCCCTACAGGGTAGGTAGAGCTGCTTTAACCATTGCCACTGCACATGCAGTGATCCCCAGGCCTGGCACATGCTGCTCTGCCTTTCCCCAGAGGCTCTGCATGCCCATACATCCTGGCCATGCACCTTCCCCTGCTCCCTAGATCTCCTGCTGCTGCTGCCTTGTCCTGCTACATTCCACTGCCAGCCTGGCTTTAGCCCTAAATCTGCCTCTTCTGGGCTCAGCAGTAGCCATGGTTATCGTCCAGGACCTGCTATGGACATGGACCTTTGGTGGGACAGCTCTGCCTGTGATAGAAAGGAAAACTATCCCAAAGTGGCCCAAACTGATGGTAGCCTGTGGGAGGGGGATGGATTCCCAGCAAGCCTGGGGACTGGCCTGCACCCTGGCAAGCTCCTCTCAGTCAGGAATAATTAATTACCTTCTTGAGGATCTTAGCTTCAGCCCTTCCCTGCTCATGCCCCAGCCCAGCAGAGGAGGGAGGGAGGAGAAGGCAGCGAAGAGGGTAGAGAATTAATTGGACATTGTGTTGGGAATCGCCTCCTGGTTGCTGTCAATCTTGGGAGTGAACAGCCTCTTGTCTCACTCAATAGGAACTTTATATGCTTCTTTAATCCTTCAGTCCGTATTGTCAGGGCTTCCCCCCTCCTCCTGTCTCTCCTTCCCACCACAGGACTTTTGATGACCCCAGCTGTCTGAGGCAATACAAAGAAGCCCCTTAACTAACACCCTGTGATCTATACAGGCAATAAAGAGGGTCCCCTTGACAAGGATTTGCAGGCAGAATATATGCAAATGCTGGGAGGTGCGCGGGTGGGGAGGTGTGCCGGGAAAACCGCTGTGCAGCGGCAAGGCTCCTGGCCCTGGGGATGCGCTGGCCTGAGCAGGCATGTGGCACAGGTGAGAGACGGCCAGAAAAAAAAAGGGTTGGCTGGGGCTGGCTCGGTGTTGCACACCCTGCTGTGGGCTAAACCAAATAGGAGTACCCTGTTCATCTGGGCTGCAAGGCCAGGGCATCCATGGGCACGTAAATGAGGGGCTCTCCTAGCCCGTGTCCCCCTGTGCTTTGCTCCTTGACGGCCACCTCCCGAAGTCAGGAGGCCATGCTCCTTCCCACATTAGCACATGAATGGGGTTAGGGGTGGGGGGGAGGCGTGAAGGGGGGCAAGCCCCCACTGTCCACTCAAGCAAACAATTTGGCTAGCAAATTGACATAATTACAAGGGACAGAGAGAAAAGAAAGACGAGCCCCCTCCCCTGCGCTCCAGAGGGCCCGACCCCTGCCGAGTTACTTAGACCCTTTGTGCGACTCAATGCTAGGTACTGATGAGGGGACGTATGCCCTTTTCAAGGGCCCTAAGCGACCGGCTGCCCTAATCTGATTACAATTTACAGCACTCCCTCAGAAGGGGCTGGAGCGGTGCTCAGGCAGGTGTGGACACACCGGGTCGGACATGTATGCGCTCACTCCAGTGCAAAGGTGGTGGGAAGGGCACAGCAAAGGTAGATGGATGTGCATGGCAAAGGTAGATGGATGTGCATGGCAAAGGTAGATGGATGTGCACACCGGCACTGTGGCCAACAACACACCAACATCGACAGCGACATCGGCAGCGAGCATTTCAGTGCGCCGGTTGTACAGGGTCAAGAAGGCTGAAGGCATGGCCATGGGGACACAGGGCATGGATCATGGGGACACAGGGTATGCCAGCATCAGATACACCATGGCCAACACCTGGGGTGTGCAGTGAGCCCATTCCAGCCCAAACCCAGTGTGTGCATCGTGTACCTGCACCCACACACACCAACACACACGTGGGCACAGATGTAAGCATGCAACCCCACCTTCTCCCGGGCAGGCCCACAGATGGGGCCCCTCTGCAGAGGCACAGGAGTGGGGAACAGAAGAGGTGAGCAAAGGCCTTCTGCCAAAATCTCTGCAGCAGCTCGCAGGAGCAGGAGTGCGAGCAAAGCCCACCACCTGCCTATTAAAAGCGGGATTAAATGATGCTGTTCCCCCCTCACTCCCCGCCCCCTTCCCGCTCTCTCTAACATCATCCCCTTGGGGAAACCACCACCTTTACATGAGATTTTCCCTTTTTTTTAACCTCTTTTCTGCTCTGTGCCCCGCAGATCCCAGGGGATTAGCAGCCAGGCTGGGCCTTCCAACCTCCTTGAAGGAAGGTTGTTTCAGCCACCCCCCCCATGGGAACCTGCCCCAGGACAACTTTGGTCAATGCCTCCGGTGCTTCCCAGCCAATTTGTACCACCTAATCCCTGCGAGTATCGACAGCCCCTTTCTCACACATTCTCCTGCCTGCCTGAGCAGCCCAATCCTCTGCTCTCCACGCTCCCCTGTTGAGAAACCCTCCATCCACCGCCGGGGCCACGACCGCACTTCAAACACGCCAGTCCGACCCTGGCATTGTTTGCCAGAGAATTAAAACTGCAAGGCCAGCCCCAGCGAGTGATTTAGGTACTGAGACCAGACTGAGCCCCACAAGAGCACGGGCAATAAAACGCTTCGCTGCCCAGCAGCCTGGGTGATTGAGGTGTCTTCCCACGAGGAGGAGGCAGAGCCCAGAGGGACAGGGAGCTGGGTCGGGGCTTCTTCTTTCAGCACGTGCACATGGGGCAGGACCATCTCCCGGTGCTCACAGACCTGCCTCACCAGAGATGTGGCCTGGCCACCTCACTAAAGCAATGAGGGTCACCCATTCTTTGCCATTGCTGATCCTCATGGCCAAGCTGCTGGGAAGGAAGATCGGAGGGCATAGGGACACACAGCTGGATGACTGCTTATCTGGGACATGGATAGAACTCAAAAGGGTAGGACAGAGGGACACTGGTCCAGCGACACAGTTCCCAACAGGTCTGCTTCTGCTTTCAAATTTTGCGGCTCGGGGCAAAAAGTTTAGGACTCTCTTTTTGAAATGAGATTGTCTATGGTGCCTGTCAGTAAACACCCCTGTGGTGGTTTCTGATGGGTTCTCTGAATGAAGCTGTGAACAGAAAATGGCTGTTTACATTCTTTCCCCAGTGCAAAGAGGCTGGGAGGTGATCTCCTTCCTTCAGCAGATCCTAGCACAGGGAAATCAGGAATTGCCCTTCATTTTCCCACCCCTGTCCTGGGTAAAGGATGTAGCACAATGTATGCTTCAGCCTCTGCAGGGATCATTCTCCAGAGGCCATTTCTAACCCCTGGTAGCCCTGCCTTTGCCATCACAAAAAAAGGTACAATATACCACTTGCTGGCAAGTGGGCTGGGGCTCCTGATGGCCCAGCTATGATACTTCTGAATGTCCCCTGAGCCAAGCAACTGCTTCCCTGCGTCCCACGCTACTGTCATGGTTGAGACCAATCCTATGGAGGATTTTAGGTCCTGTATTACTCTTCTTTTTTTCAATGGTGAGGTTGTTTCAGGCCAAACAGAGGCAACGGGTGTTCAGACGAGAGCATCTCCCGTGCCTGGCTGTCCCCGTCCCCGCGCCATGGCGGGGGAACACAGTGTTTTGGCACCTCCTCCTCTGTCACAATGTTTTTCAGCTCCACCAAGCAAAGTGCCCAATTAGAGCAGAGCCTCTTGCTTCCATCTTTGCCGACATTTAATTAACATGCTGCTGCTGGCAGCCGCTGACAAATTCCAGAAACATGTTGTAAAGGGTTTTTGTCTTTACCCAGCATGGAAAATGAGGGTGTCATATCCCAAGGGGATGTGAATAGCTACTTTTGACTCCCCCCCTCAGGTGTGAGAATTACAGCTAGATGCAGTGAAGAGACCTATCAGCCCTCCTACCTCCTTTTCCCCCCCTCCTCGCTCTTTTCCTTTCCTGCTCCTCACATTAAATCAACCAGGAAAACATGAAGATTTTAGGCCTAATTTTCATTCCTGTTTTCTCCAGCTCTGGTTGAAGCCTGATAGTCCAGCTAAGAGGGACACCATGCTCTGGCTTTGGACTCTTGCAGTTATATACATATGATATAGCACCAATAAGCGTAAGGAGCTGTCTGATGACATGGGAAGAAATGAGTGAAACCAAAAAGAGGGAAAGGGTCTTGCCATCCTACACTGCATGCGCAAACAAGGTTCCCAAGGAGCTGATGGAAGCCTCAGTAGAACAGGTCAAGGGAAGGTGATGGTAGAGACAGGTAGGAGTGTAGACAGACTCACAGCTGCCTTCACCCACGCTGTGTATGGCTAGATGAGCACAGGGACAGCTGCTGCACCCCAGCACCCCCTCCCCAAAAAGCACCAGCCTGGCCTGTGCTTCTCACAGGGGCTCAGCCCCTGCCACGGACACCTTCAGGACCACTATCTTAAGGTGTCAGGTCCTAACCCTGGCATCTCCCCAGCCTGCACTATCTAATACATCATGTAACTAATACCCCCAGCCTGTATTGCCATCGTTCATGCCTCCACTTTGGCTCCCAGGTGTCAGGAGTGTCCCAGCGCCTCCTTTTTGCCCCCGGCAGCCCAGAGCTCTCCCGGCAGCTGCCCTGTACCGCTGGTGGGAGAGAAGGAGCCTGAGCGACATCCCATCCCGCTCTGCCGCTGGCACACGGGAGTACAGGCCTGGAAAGAAGAAGACGTCTTTATTTTATCCACAACAGCGCGTTACAAAAGCAGGAGAGTAGGGCAGAGCCCTCGTCGTCACGGGGAGTAAACGAGCCTTCGGCCCCGGAGCGGGGCCCGCGGTCCTGCGGCGGGGAAGGAGCGGGGCGGGGGCGGGGGCGGCTCAGGGCGAGGCGGGTTTGTCGGGGTTGTGCATGTGGTACACGTCGCTCTCCTCGTCCTCCGGCACCTGCGGCGCGGCAGAGCCCCCTGAGCCCCCCGGGCCGGGCCGCGGGCCGACAGCGCCATCTCGTGCCCCCCGCCCCGCTCCCGCCCAGGACCCCCCTCACCTCCCAGTAAACCTCGTCCTCGAAGCAGTTCTCGGCGGCGGCGTCCCCCCAGATGGGCAGCTTCAGGATGCCCCCTGGAAGGAGGCGGGCAGGGCGGTGGGCAGGGGGCCGTGATGCCGGGGGGATGCAGGCGGGATGCGTATGGTCCACCCAAGGGGGCAAACGCAGCCCTGGCACGGTGCTCGGTGCCGTCCCCCGCCCCGGGCGCATCCAGCCATGGGCAGGAGCACGTGGATGCCTCCGTTTTAGCCGCAGGCGGGCACAACTCTCCCCTTTGGCTTACCCACAATGGCCCCCCCGACAAACGCCATCAGCAGAGACACCACAATCCCGGCCGCCTGGAACCCTCCTTGGACACTGGGTGTCCGCGTCTGGTACACGCCAGTGAAGTCAAACGCCTTGATGAACCTGCCGAGGGCAGAAACGGCGAGGATTGCTCCTGGCAAGGAGACGTGTTCTCTGCTCCCTCGGGTACTCCTCCCTAGCCCCATCCCTCCCCTGCAACGGACCAGGAGAGTGTTGCAATGACCAAAACACTGCTCATTTCCTTCTACTCGGGCCCCTGGCAAACCTTTACCTAGGAGGACCACAAAATATAAACATGCCCTTTGTATTTCAGACCTTCAGCTGTACCTGACCCTCCAAAACAACACAGGGGGGAGGGAGGAACACTTCCCTACCCGTTGTGGCTCAGAATAATGCCAAGCAGCAGGACTGTGGCTCACTTTTTGAAGCTACAAGAAGAGGCAAGAGATGAGGCTTTCACACTTCAGTAAGTCCAAGACACTCATTGCACCTCATGTTTTTTTAGGGGCAACTCAACAATTAACAAAGACTTTTAAATGCTCCTTGCTCCCAGCCCAATGTATTCTCAGAGAAGATTTTCAAGCTGTCTTACCCTTCCTTTCCATATACATCCTCTGTAGCTGCAGCTGCTGTGATGGCCCCCACAATGCCACCAATAAGGCCTGGCATGGCGTGGAGGTTGTGGATGCCACATGTGTCCTGAATGTGCAACCTAGACTCCAAAAAAGGCTGAGGGAGAGGGAAGTAGAGAGAGATCAGGGAGATGAACACGGCCCTGGAAAGGATTAGTTCCTTCCACAGAGGATAAGCAGAGAAGGAAGAGTGATATTGTGTCCCATTAAAGTGCTAAGGGCTTGTAGACAAAGATGTGAGCCAAGATCAAGATGAAATAATAAAATTTCCTCCAAACACTCTCCTCTTGGGAGTCTGCATCTTCCTGAGCATTTTGGGGCAGTAATAGAGTCAGAAGTGCATCTCATAAGGGATTCTGGGAAACAGGAATCCTCAAATGGAAGTGAATCCATTTCTGGTCTCCTCAGCCAGACCAGGGCTGCAGACCCCTTGAGCAGCACTCACCGTGAAGTAGACATACCCCACTGTGGACACGATGCCAGAGATGGACCCGACAATGAGGGAGCCGTATGGAGTCAGCATCATCTCCGCGCTGGTGCCCACGGCCACGCCGCCCGCCAGCGTGGCGTTCTGGATGTGAACCTGCAGGAGTAACCGCCCTGTCTTGGCATCTCAGGGAGATTGTAATTGCTCAGGCATGGTGCAAATGGCAAAGCAGAAGAATCAGCTCTGAAAGTGTCTCCAGAGTAAACATCAGGGCCCATTTTCCTGCTTGGTCGTGAAAAAACAAGAGAAGAGCAGGCAGTTTCTGTCTGTAGCACAGGTGCACATAGACTCCCACTCCCTGCACCACACACGTTCTTTGCATCCACAGATCTGGGTGGGGAGTTGCGATGAGATGGAAATTGTCTCACCCGTGTGTCACGCAAGCTCTGCTGTCACAAAGACATGTCACCCACACACCTAACACGCACAAGTCAGCCCCCCGATTGCTCACGAGCTGCTGCACAGGCCCTGCTTGCTGGAGAGTGCTGCCAAACACGGCTCTGCAACGCGCCCAGCTCTGGGCAAAGCAAGTCCAGTTCCTGCTGTGACTTGGGTCCACTGCAATGCAGGGCATCACCCCACTCCTCAAGCACTGCAAGACACATTTCCCACTTTTTTGTTCAACATAATCTCAGTTTCTGCCTGGATGCTGGTTTCACCATTATGCCCTGAAACCCTGCAACTGTTCTGCAAAGGATAAGTGCCAATCGTTTCCTAGACTCTCAATCAGCCTCATTATAAGTCCCCTGGGCATTGCAGGGCTTGCTGCCAGCTTACCATGTCAAGCTTGCCCTTCTTCTGCAGCATGCTGGAGAAGGCCATGGTGGTGAGGACACAGGCAGCCAGTGAGCAGTATGTGTTAATGGCTGAGCGGTGCTGGGCATCCCCGTGATCAGAAATGGCTGAGTTAAAACTGGGCCAGTACATCCATAGGTACAAGGTACCTGGTGGGATGGGGAGGATGGGACAAGCAAGAGAAGGGGAAAAGTGAGAATACAGGGACTGGAAAAAAAAATCCTCTAAACATCTTTCTGCACACGGTGAAATTAAATCCTACAGTCCTGCTGCCCCGGAGCTGCACCCCACATGATGCGACCAGCATCAGGAAGGGCTACCACAGAGAAGGAAAATGTATCCTTGTTTTCCCAAGCACTATCTCAGCCCATCCACTGATGAAGGGAACTGAGTAACTCTGAAAGGTGAAAGACCTCTGGGATACAGAGCTCCTTAGTTCCATATCCTGGTTTCATTTTTTCCCAGGGACACAGGAAGAACCAGCTCTCTACAGCTGAGTGCTCCACATGTAGCAGCGTCCTTGAGTCAAGGGCTGACTCACCGATCATAGCGAAGAGGTCGGAGTGGTACACAGAGCCCTGCTTGTCCTTACTCTGCTCCAGGTTGGGTCTGTACAGGATGCGTGTCACTGTGAGGCCAAAGTAAGCTCCGAAGGTGTGAATGGTCATGGAGCCACCCGCGTCCTTTACCTGCAGCCATGGGGAAACAGAGGTTTGCTTCTGCCATGGCCGCTCATCCTGGAGCTGAGGCCTGATTTGCATCGTGACCGACTTGTTTGCCCATTCAACATTTCTGCCTGCACACAGTCATATGGAGAGGTGGACTGGTCCTGCTCCTGCTCTGGTCCTGTTCTATGTCCCACTCACTTGGTCCTGTGCACAAGCTTCTGCTTGGAAGGCATTGAGGCAGAGGGGAGTTTCTGACCTGTCCCAGTGGCAAGAAGGTTGCAGAGACAGCCAGATTGGCTCCCAGGTGCAGTCTTGTGAGAGCCTGCTTGCTTCCAGCCCTCCAAGCCCTCTTTCAGAGGGCAGGAACCCTGCCTCTGTCAGCAGACATCTCGTCCTCTTTGTCACTTGATTTCCTTCTACAATACCCATACTCCAGCAGGGAAAACAGACGAGATGGAAAGCTCAGGCACAAAGAGAGCGACTGGTCATTTGTGCTAAGACTCTTTGTCTGCTTTGGGACCCAGTGCTCCTGAATTGCCAGGATGGTGTTTAAAATCCCAGAAGATCTCCCTTCTTGGGGAAGTAACACCCACTGGCCCTTTCCTTCATAATCTGCCTAATTTTTCTGCTTGAATTCTAGCATTTTAAATGCTTATGAAGGAACTATAGCTTGGTGGAGCCATAGCAAGGGGAGACAATTTGGAGAGATGCAGAAAGGAAGGAACAGAACCAAGAGGGTACTACCTAAAGCCTTACATGGAGCAGGTTGAGGAGGATGTACTCATTCACTGAAAAGAGTGTGACTTGAAACAAAGTCATGATGAGGAGTTGTATGGGGCTGGTTTTGCCCAGGATGGCCCCAAAGGCAATGCACACAGAGCCCACGCAGAAATCAGCATTGATCAGGCTGGAAAAGGGGAAGGAAAATTGTGGTTTGATAAGGAAATACTCCTCTGTAACTCACCCTCACTCATCTCCAGCTCTAGAGATCCCACCCAAAGGCAAGCAGGTGATTAGGAGACATCCTCGGGTTTTTTCCATTGGCTTTCCTCCCATCCTTACATACTGGCCAGGAAATATGCTTTCCCCCAGATTATTTAGATAATGTGGATTATACATGTTCTCAGCACTGGCATCCACAGTGCTTGGCTTGGGACTAAGAGGGGACACTCCTCTCATGTTTTCCTTTGAGCAGTACCACCATAATGGCAGGTACCTTTAGACTAAAAGGTGGAAGGCAAATGGAGGTATGTGCAGAGAAGAGAGCAGTTTAGAGACTAATTTGACATAACTGAGGGACAGGTGTTGGCAGCTGCTTAGCTCCCATTCCAGCCCTTCCACTGGCCAGTCAAGAGGTGGCATCCCAGAGCCCATCTCCTCCTTACTTCTCCACTCCAATGAGGATCTTCCCATTCTTGAAAGAGTGGAACCATCCTTGCATCAGGAGAGCCCACTGGATCCCAAAGGCAGCAAGGAGGAAATTGAAACCCACAGCTCCGAATCCATAACGCTTGAGGAACGTCATGAGAAAGCCAAAGCCCACAAAGATCATCACATGGACATCCTGGAAAGCTGAGCAGAGGGAAGGGACTGTCAGTTCTGCAAGGAGAGCAGGGCTGCAAGTGCCACTTGCATTTGGTGTCGAAAAGAAACCAACTGCATCACGGGCAGTAGGGAATTCAAGTGACAATGTGTGTTTGTCTCATGTCCCCCTGTTCTAAGCCTGAAAATGGCTCAGTTTTCAGAAACTGGCTTTTGGTTAAAAAGGCTCAGTCTTTTAAGTAAATGCTTATTAAAAGCTGTGTGCAAGAGAAGACCAGAGGCTAATGGAGTGTACAGAAGAAAACATATTTCTACTCAGATTGTTTCTCCCCTTCTGTAAAAGACTTGGAAAATGTCATATGAAATGAACAGTGAAGTTTTGTTAAAATACATGAACGATCATTTTGGGTAGGTCTGTCTGATGCAGGGTCCTGGCAATGGCCCAGAGCAAGGAGAGCACAAGAACAAGGAAAGTTTACAAGTGCATTTTTAAATGCTGCTGAAATCAGTGCCAAAATACCCTTGAGACCAGAAATCCACTTTGTGAGATTTATAGTGCTTAAACCAGAGAGACCCAGTTCTTCCCACTAGTGCTCAGACCTGCTCAGTCGAGCCCCTCAGATGCCCTTCCCCGGGGGAAGCCAGACCTGTGTGAGCCTCTTGAAAGACCTTCTTGGTGCAGTAAACCTGCTGTACTTCTTAATGCTGCACATTTCTATCAGATAAGCATCGCTTTGCAATTAAGTGAGCTGAAGTGCTTGCATACTTACCATGCAAGCCCTCTCACTGCAGGCCACTGTGCCTGTGAATAAACAGGAGACCCAAGGCTGGGATCCCCCACTGGGGATCTGTAGAACAGATGAACACAGCATTGATGGAGCTACACCAGCAAGCTCTACATTTTGCAGTGCACAAACCATTATAACAAGCAATGTCTGTGCACCTCAGAGAGGGCATAAGCTCAGGGCAAAAAAAATTCAGTGATGGCAAATACACTCTACCCCCAATCCACTCTACCCCAAACCCACTCTACCCCAAACAAGAGCTTGGACAGGCTTAAGCCATGTAGTGCCATGTTAATCTACTTGTTTTTTAAAATGCCTCCCATGCCTATGAAATCACTCATAAAAAAGGAAGGAGACAAGATCTGCAGCTGGAACTGTTCAGCAGAGGTCACTTCAAATGTACTTTTCAACATGTCCTAAGAACCATCCTTTCTTACTCTGGTTTTACCATACACTCCCACAGACTTTCCCTCTGCAGCTGTATTTATTCTCCCTCTCTCTCTTCACTAGTGTGAGCAGCATAGTACAAAGCTGGAATTATCTGCTGCCATTTGTATTATATATTCGTTCTTTCATCCTAAAAGCAGAAATACACAGGTCAGAGTTAAAGCTGCAGACTGTGTATCCTCCAAAACCACAGAGGATCCCACTGTGTGTTAGACCCTGTACAAACCCAGGAGAAAGAGTAGGCCTTTCTTCAAACTGCACCCAGTCTAAAACCCTTTTCTAACCCTTGTCTTTGTTTTCCCTTGTGAAGAATAACATTGGCATCATTAAGGGGCAGCCCAGGCACTGCCATGCCCTAAAGGTTTTGTGAGCCTCCTTTTGTGGGAGGACGATTGCCATAACTATCGAACGGAAGTGTTTGGGCTTTGGAAATGTTACCCGGACAAGGAATCCCATTTCTTTTCCCCTAGAGAGCAGATGAGTCACCCATCAGGGAATATCCATGTGCGATTCAAAATGAGAAGGAATTGTCACACTGACTGGACCTGGATTCCCTCTGCCTGCCTTCCCAACCATCTCTGTCTCAAAGGATGTGTCAGGTTGTTACTCCTATCCCTCTGCCACTGCAGACAGGTCCTGGGGACAGTAGCAGGCACAGATATGTTGATACAAATGATCCTCAGGTGTTCAACCACCACACTCTCTTCTGAGCAGCACTGGATGAACACAGGGATCAAAATTCCAGGACTTGGCTGCCTTGTTGTGTTTGTCCATCTCTGCAGAAAGAGACTATTTCTGATTAGACAAGGGATAAAAAACAGCTCTGCTTTTGGGCATGTGAACCCTTCCTCGGGTCTGAAACAGAAACTTAATTCAAAGCTAAACTGAGCAGTTGCCCATAGACTGACTTAGCTGAGTGAATCTACTCAGCCATTTGAGGGGGATTATTTGGCACTTTGGAGCGGGAGTGGGATATGAGGACAGAAGAAACGTCATGTTCTTAGTTCCTACAAGCTCTTCCTTGGACTGCTGACGTCCTCCCAGCACATCAGTGACAAGAGCAGCTCTCAGGCACTGCTGCTGCTTCATGCCAACCTGTGTGGGGCTAGTCCCAAGGGCAGATCTCCAGGGAGAGCCCAGGGCAGCCACAGCCATACACTAACTCAGAGGCTGGCTGAGCAGTGGGTTACTGTAAGCAAATCCTTCTCTGAACTAGCTAATCCTCAGCAGCCACAGGTTGCTATAGCTTCTTTGATTTAGCAGGTGTTTTTAATGGAAATGTTCTAAATAGATGCATGACTCAGGCCTGTTGCTTCCTTGGAAACAATTGCCTACAGAAGCAGCCTGTTCTGAAAGGCTCACAGAGATGACCAGCCCTGTAGATCAAAGCCACCCAAAGGCACTTCCCAGCCAGAAGGGCTTTAACCACCTGAATAATCCCTGTGGCACTACTGTGCAGTGACCCAAGAGCCCTGGGAACCTGGCAACTTAGGAAGACTCTGGCATCGAAATGCCAGTCGCTAAAGGGTAATTCGCTAGTGAGGGGGAGGACGTAGGAAGGGGAGGAAGATGTCACAGGATCTCGACAGCCATTCCTCTGTATGCACAGAAAGGCTTGCTCTGATCCAGAGCTGAGGGAGGGGGCAGCAAGCTGAAACTTGCAGGGTGCTGGGAACACGTCAGCCCTATTCCTGGAAAAAAGACGTCACAGTACCCTGCTGACAGAGCCCCAAGAGTGCCTGGAGGGCCACGAGGTTTTTCTCTTGCTCTTTGGTGCACCCCAAACCAACCACAAGGCAAGAGCCTGTCTTTCTAGCAATAGGTGGAGAGATTGCCTCTGACAGGCTCTGCCGTAGGACAGAATAGGATGGATGTGATGGGTTGGGATGGGATGGATTGGTGGGGACTAGCCAGCAGCAGGACTACGCTTCCAGAATACTCACATGGGTATCGGAAGTAGAAATCATTCTCCATGTCACTGGTCAGGTTCAGCTCTCGCTTCTCTTCCTCCCAGTGTGCGTCAGCTTCGGGGCCGAAGCGCACGAAGACCCCAAAGAGGACAATCATGGCCACCTCCCAGAGGAGGCAGACGAGCGGGAGCCGCCAGCGCATGTACGTGTTCTTCACCATGCCCTGGTGCCTCGGCCTGTCCATCCACAGGGATCTGCAGGGGCCTGGCAGCCTGTGTGAGCCCGTGTCCCCTGTGCCCGGACACTGCCAGGGACATATATAAGTCGGGGAGGGCGAGGTGGGGCCCAGGGAGGTGCCTGCGGCAGGATCACATTTCAGAGCACTGGAGCCCCAGCAGGCTTGTTCCTCTAACCAACCTTCCTCCCTGGGAGGCGGGACAGGACGAGGCACCTTTCCCCTGAGCTGCTCTGAGCACCTCTGAGCCCTGCCTGCTCAGGGACAAGTAGAAGATGTGAGAGTGGGAAGTGGAGCCTGGGCGTCCAGCCCCCTGCTCTGCCCAGTCCCACACCCTGATCCCTGCTGTCCTGAGCACCCTCCCTCCCTGCACTGAGTGGTCCCCTCACCACCCTCCTGGCTCTGCACCCTTCCTCAGCTGCAACTGAGGTGAAGGCAGAGTGCCTTTTGCTTCAGCTCTCAGCTTTTGGAAAAGCAGACTGTGGTGCAGCCATAGGAGGAAGAGGAGATATGTGACTCTAACCAAGATCCTGCATGCACACACAGACATGCAATGGCCCAAGGCTGCCATATAGCTATAAGGATGTTCAAGTGACATATGTTCCTTTATTTCCCAAATTACCCAGTGCATCCTCCTGGCAAGACAAACTGTGCTGGAGCTGCATGAAGCATTACTGTGAGATGGTGCTGTGGATGGGACTGGAGACCAAAACGTTCCCTCCTCTGGTATGGGGCATTCTTTAATTAACAAACACAAACAAAAACCTCCTTTTTTTCCTACTGTTTTGAACTATGTGCTCTTTCCTCAAAGAGCTAGGCAAGTCCTTCAAACAGATTACAGCTCCTTCCTCTGCCTGTAGATCCCTGGGATGCCTGTCAGTCTTCAAGAGATAAAAGACTGCAGCCCAGGCAAGCTGCCCAAATTTGCTGATGGCATCTAATTGTGGCCAGCAGGCTGAGCAAGCAGCACTGATTTCGGTGTTGATTAGGCAATAATTTGAGTTTATTAGTTTTTCTTGTTTGCTTTCTTCTCAAAATGGCAGATGGCAGAAAAATGCTGTGGATGGTCTTGAAGTGACTGACGGCCAAACAAAACCATTCTCCAATCTCATTTGAACCCCGTGCAGGCAGCAGAGACAGCATTGTGAAGGAGAGAGAAGCCCATCTGCCTGGCCCTTACCCTGCATGAGCAGAGCTTCTTGTGACTGGGGTCACTTGGTGGGGACACCTAAAGCAATTGGATGTTGCTGTTGTCTGGAGGACGAGCACTCCCTCAAGCGATGCTGCTCAGGGTATGTTTCTGAGTCTCCCATTAAACATGGTTTCTGCAGGGCAGTCTCAGCTGTACACACCAGGAAACAAAAGACTTCCATCTAGAAAGAAGCTGAAATCCCTAAACAATACTTGAGCTCTAATTGCTGGAAGCACTGTTGACAGTTGCATGTTCTTCTGCCAACTACGTGGTAGGACCAGTATTCTGCCCTGCCCTAGAGCAGCTCCTAGACACCTTGAGAAATGCAGCAGAGGCACAGAAGAGCATTTTAAAACCCAAGGGTTTTAAACTTGCTAAGGTACTGTAGCCACCAGCAGTTATGCTTTGTGACTACTCTTCAGCAAAACTAACTGCAGAGCTTTTCTAATCCATGGTCTCACTGAAATGGCAGTGTCTCCAGAAAAGGAGCTTGCAAAGCCCTTGCACAGCCCCAGGAGGCAGCAGGTCTGTCCCATCTGCTGTCCCCAGCCCCTCTCCCCATGTCTGAAAGCCCAGGACAAAGCTAATGGCTTTTCTGCTGGCCTGATAGTCTCACCTTGCTGCACTGCCTGGTGCTGCCGCTTCTTATCGGCTCCCAGATCAGCACTTTGTCACTGCAATCCCATAAGGGCTGGCATGCTCCACTGGCTGCCCATGCCAGGAGAGCCCATTAAAGGACCAGCTACTCTCCAGGCTCCTTTGCAGGGCCAGGATGACACTGGAAAGGTTGACAGGGCCATGCCAACACAAGTGCCTGCAGCAGTGCAGGCAGAGTGCCTCCAGTGATGGGTTAGACCACCATTGCATCCACCCTACAAGGTACCTAACTGCATGCTAGGACACATGGGGCAGCTTTCATCATGCCCCAGCCACCAATATCCAAGTGGTTAAAAGTCCTGTTGGAAACTCCAGGCTGGTGTGAACTAGAGCAGTGTTTGCTGGAGACAACGCTCGCCTGCTCCACCATGGAATTCGGCACATCATGTCCAGCACCCATAAGAGCTGGAAGCTTTCCCCAGAAAATCACTGAAATGATGTTGGGGGAAAAGGTATGTTTGTCTTTCTGTTGAAGAGACATGGGACTAGGTCTGGCAGTGGTCATGCAGTTGCCTTGGGTGAAGGTTGTATAGTGCTGGTCCCAGCTGGGTCTCTCCCACTTTTGAACTTTAATGAGCACTAAAAATATTTGAAAGATGTAGAGACAAAATCTAAATTACACTGAAACCCCTCCCTCTTGCCTGGAGGCCTTGGGGCAGCTTCCCCCTGGAAAGGAAAAAATGGGGGCTCCTTGGGTCACTGTGAACTGTCCTGGCAAATCTTATCCCAGCCAACGCGGGGCCAAGGCACTGTGCTGGCTCTGAGAGGTTACCTTAAAGCTGTGGACTCCAGGGGTCTGGAGGTGCCCAGGGGAAAGCAGCCCTTTTTTCAGCCCCCACGTATCCCTTGGAGAGAAATGCTGGAAGCAGGACAAAATAAAGCAAGACTTTTTTAAGTTAAAAGAAATCCTGTCTGGATCAAAGTGTCAACCAAATGTGAGCCCAGTTTATGAACGATTTTTCTTGTGCCTTCTCCCTCCTCCCAAGATGCCACATTTATCAGCAAGTAAGTGATTGTCCAGAAAGAACCCAAGGACTGTTTGAGAGAGGCCAGTGTCCTTGGGCAGCAGGCAGAGAGGGCGAATGTCTCTGTGAGTGCTTCAAGCACTATGCAAGAAACAGAGGTGTGAGTGACTCTGGCTGTCACACTGGGAAACACAGTCACCAGGGCTCAGCCAATATCTCTGACGGCTTTCCCAAGAGCTGGATGGTCTTCAAGAGCAAATACACTGGAGTGGGTAGGAAAGGAGGAGGAGCTTGAGTAGCCGGCAGCAGTTCCCGTGCTGGAAGCTGCCAGGATTTGCTGGGAAACTCTCCTTTGCCCCGAGCTTGTTTTTGGTCCCAGGTGGACTGTGATAAGGCAGGTTTTGGTCACACTCTGCTAAATGTCCTCAGTGGGCTGCTGGGACAGACACCAGTAGCTGGGCAATGGCAGCGAGAGCATAATGGGGTTGGCTCTTCTTCAGGGATCAAACAGGACAATGACATATCAAAAAGCAACAAGAGGCGACTCATGGGCCAAGAGCAGCCCCCAGCGAGGAGGAGGGACCCATGGCTCCCCAGGGAGCCTCCAACCCCAAGACTGCAGGCTGCCCTCCACACTTCCAGTCAGAGAGACCTGTTGTCCTTCCCTTGCTCTTGGTGGCAGGTTAGTCCTGGGCACCCAAGTGGATCAGCTCCTTGTTCCAGCTCGTTAAACCCGCTTGTGCTCAGAGTCACCAGCAAAGCCGAACGGGCCGTTTATTGCTCGCTTGTCTTTGTTGCTTTATAAATACAACTGGCTGCTGGTGACACTGGTTTAGGCTGGGACATTCGAGCTCTGGAGAGAAGGATGGGGCGGCTCTGGTCTGCTCTGTTGCTACCCTGCGCGATCACACCTGGACCTCCCCACATGTCAGCCCTTGTCCAGGTGCCGTGACCCTACAACTTTCCATAGAACCATCAAGGCTGGAAGAGACCTTTAAGATCATCCAGCCCAACCATCAACCCATCGCCATCAGTGCGACCAGCAAACCACATCATCCAGAGCCAGATCCAGACAGGTCTTGAACAGTTAGAGGGGCGGTGACTCCACCACCTTCCTGTGCAACCTATTCCAATGCCCGACCACCCTAAAAAATATTTTTTTTCCTAATGCCTAATCTGAATTTGAACCTGAACTTCACCCATACGGGCCCTGGGCTGTCCGTGCCGTTGCTGCGGGGATGCTCAAGGGGAGGTGCCGTATGGGGCAGCCGGCAGGGCTCTGCTCGCCCCCGCCCGCGGGCGGCTGGGGGGTGTCGGGGATGGGGAGGTGCCGTGTGCGGGCAGGCGCGGACCTCTAGCGGCGAGCGGGGCCTGCCTGGGTGCGGGGCGGGCAGGGCCGGTCCCGCGGCTCAACCCCGGTGCCCGGCAGGACCCGCCGGCCGCCTCCGTGACGTCCCGACCGCGACACGTGACGTCACGCCACCATGCCCCCTGACGTCACCGTCACGCGCGCTTTCCCCGTCTTTAAATTTTAAAACGGTGGTGGCCAATGGGCTCGTCCCGCGCGATGGCCCCGCCCCTCCCTGTCGTCAGGGGTGCTCCCGCCAATGGGGGAGCGAGGAGCGGGGCGGTGGGTGGGGCGGTGCTCTCTGCGGCAGCCAATGGGGGCACGCGCAGGCCGAGGGCGCGAGCAGCCGGGCCGGGCCGGGCGAGGCCGGGGGCCGGTGGCGGCGTGAGGGGCGCGCGCCATGTCGAGCTCCCGCAGCGCCGTGTTCCTGCTGGACACCGCCGGCCCCGCGCGCCGGGAGCCGCTCCAGCGCGGCGCCCTCCGCCTCCTCACGCTTCTGGGCTGCCGCTTCGGCCTCGCCCGCCTCCGCTGGGCATTCCGCTTCTTCGACTCGCTCGGCGGCCGCGGTGGCGCCTCGCGGGGCGGCGGGTTCCGCCCGCCGGGCCCCCGCGCCTGGGAGCGGTTCGAGGAGGAGCTGGCGGAGCGGCTCCGGGCGCGGGGACCCTCGGCCGCCCTGCCCGGCCCCGCGTCCCGCGCTGCCCTCACCCACAGTGGCCTCAAGGAGACGCTGCTCGACTTCCAGTGGGACCGCCCGGAGATCGCGTCCCCGGCCAAGCCGCCCCGCAGGAGCCGCAGGACGGGGTCGGCCGGCCCAGAGCCCCCCGAGGCGCCCCCTGAGGGCTTCGTGAACGCCGTGTTCGTGTTCTCGCCCTGCCCGCACTCGCGGAGGGAACTCCGGCGGTTCGTGTCGGG